GGGCTCCCTGCTCCACAGGAAGCCTGCTTCTCCCTCTCCCACTCCCCCTGCTTGTGTTCCCTCTCTCGCTGTGTCTCTGTCAAATAAAGTCTTTAAAAAAAAAAAAAGAAGTGTTTGTGTGGACATAGGCTTTCTTTTCTCTTGGATACATACCTAGGACCTTACTATTGGACTTTTATACCAAAGTACATGCACTCTAAGGGGAAGCAGAGTTTCTCTAAAGGACATGTAGGTAAATGTATGATCTTTCTGTATTTTAAGACTAAGCTTAGCTGACTGGTGAAATGAGCATAGGACAGAGGAAGTCAAGACACCTGGGTATTAGTCTCAGCAGGAAACAATCCCTCTTGATTCAATTTCCTCATCTGTGAAAAAGAGGTTAGCGTCACTAGGTGATCTCTAAAGAGCCTACCAATGCCTAGACTTCATACAGAGCTTAGCTCCTCCTCAGTAGTAAACAAAACCCAACCAAAGAGATTTGACGGTAGATTATCTTCCTCCCAACCTTCTCCACAGCTTCAGGTTATCTTTATACCAACCCAGGTTACATTTTAGGCAGGCCTGCTCCTTTTATTTTAAATGGTAAGTAGAAGATCACAGCATAAACATAATTCAATTCAGATATATTGTTGTTATGAATGCTGCCTAGGAAGGACAATTGAACGATTGGTTCCTGCTTTCTTGTGGTTTATGTTAAAGATCACCAACACTAACTTACTTGTAAAGAGGCTACTGCCAGCAGTAGGGAGCTAATTAAATAAACCGTGGCTTAGCCTGAAAATGGAATACCATGCCATCATTTAAAATCAGGTTTTCAAAGAATACTGAAATAGATGATAAAACTTTCACACTATAGTAAGTGAAAAGGTAAGTATGATCCCAATTTGTGTACAAGCATACATAAAAAATGACTACAAGGATGTACCCCGAACAGTTACTAATAGCTAATAATAGCTAATAATAGCTAGCCTTGGGTCTGAGATTAGATAATTATTCTTTCCTCCTTTATGATTTTCCAAACTTGGTACAATGGATCATTTTTAAGTAATTAAAACTAAAATTATACAAACACGTAATTTTATGAAATGATTATGATAAATGAAAACTTCAAGGGTGAGTAGAGGCTCCCATATCTTGCACATCAGCTAGTACATAGACATTCAAAAGTTGTTTGATAGATATGGGATGGCTAGAGTGATAACTTGCACAATAGGACAAGGTACAGAATAGTCAGGAGAGTCCAGATTCAGACAGCAAGAACACCTGCCACTCTGGGGAAGGAGAAATTGAAAGAAAAGCAAGGAAAGAGCGTTGAAAGGGGGGTTTTGGCAAGGTTCTTTAGGAAAATATTCCCAGAGGGAACGTCAGCATAAGAACACAGGAGTGAACTGAGCAAGTAAAAGGAGAATGTAGTAAACCTGCCCAGAAAGAATCAGGATGAGCTGGGGAAAATGTTCTTTCTGTGAATTGAGTGCTCCATGAGGATAGACTCAAGCCCTTAGTACTGTGCTTGGCACAGACCAAGGGCTCTGTCAGTGTTTGTGGAATGAATGAATGAATGAATGATGATCAGTGAACTGGGATACAGGTGAGGGAGCAATGCAGGAAAAAAGGTCTTCAAGGGTCTCTTGATAGGTCATATACAAAAGGGAATATCTGAGCCCTAATCTCTACACTGATCATAATTTACAACTATGTTTATTAGACTCCGTTTCTACATCACAGTAAAAATATTTGCAAAGCAGACAATACTATAGATATAATAAATGCATTTTATACCTCTTACCATTTGATTCCTTCTAAATTTGAGGAAATAATGTCTAAGTTCCTTTCCCCCAAACCAACCACAAATTAGCCCAGAGAATGGATGCAGTGTCCTTTCTAAGTATTCTCCCATACAGCGGAGTGCTAGAGCCAGTTCATACTGCGCAGAGAGCAGATTGTGTGCATCTCTCCCCAACTCAGTTCAGTGATGTCACACTGGTAGCTTGAAAACAGTATTTACAACTCCAAAGTCATCAAGAGCTACAAATCAGGGCTCCCTCACCAGCATACCACTGCTCACATAGTGCATACAGGATTTCCCCGCTGTCCATTTCCCTGCCTAGGGAGGACAAGGACCTTGTCTGTCATGTTTATAGTTGTATTCCCAACATCTAGCACCTGCCTGGCATCAAGTTGATGCTGCATACATATTGGTTCAGCCAGTTAATTACCCGCATACTGGTTAGCAAGCGTTTGAGCCCTCTGAGCTAACAACTGGGTTTGCTGCTCTGGCAGAGGAAAAAAGGACCAAATATTCTACCAACCCCTCACACTTCGTTGGCCAATGTTTGTGATTTGGTAAAGTTTACTGACTTTGTTAGGGTTGCCAGATGAAATATAATTTTTGCATGGACCATACTAACACTAAAAGAGTACTGGTTGTTTATGTGAAATTCAAATTTAGTTGAGCATCCTGTATTTTTATTTATTAAATCTGGCAACCCTGGCCCTTTTGAACTAAGCAGAAAATAGTTAATGAGCTATTACCTAGTAAAGTTGAATACTATGACCTGGAAATTCCATTCCAAAGAATATATCCTACAGGAATTCTTGCTCATGTGCTACAGGACATAAGAACAAGAATGTCCATAGCAGCCAAAAACTGGAAACCACCCAGATGTGCATCAACAAGAGAACGGATAAGTAAACAGTTTTGTCTATTCACACAATGGGATACTACTCAACAATTAAAATGCTCACAAGCATAATGCTGATTTAAAAGGACAAATTAAAGAAGGAGGTTGTCTGTTTGACTCCATGTGTAAATATTCAAAAACATTCAAACTAAATAATACGTTGTTCAGGAATGGAGAGATG